GTCTAAAAGTAATCTTACTAGCCTGTAAAATCTCCACTCTGCCAACTAATAGTGCTGGGCATGTAAAAAAGTATTGATCTAAAAATAAAGTGAGTATGTTTTAAACAACATCACTATTCTTAAGCAATATAGGTTTCATTTGGGAAATAAACATTATTTTAAATTTCATTTGCCTGTTCATTTTAACATGCTATATGTTAAAAAACAGACGTGTTTGGAAAACTTTTAAACATGCAGAATAATACATCTAATAATGGTGTTAAGCTAAGAGAACATAATGCAATGTTCCTTCAAGGTTTCCCTTCAGTGATCAGTGAATGGATTTCTTATTCTAAGTTACTTTTCTTTCAAAGAAAATTATCTAAGGTTAGAAAAGACCAATTCCATGTATATCAGACACACAAAACCCAATCTACCAATTTGAAGTATCTGAATATTAATACAAGCAACATGGAAGCCCCAAAATTCTTTTGTTCTCTAATGTAAGACAAAGGAGATGGTTTAAGTTGCCTAACTCAATTCCAGTGCTTTCTTACTTCAGAATTAAAGATTTATTGTAGACATTAAGAGGAACACAGGAAGATCTGAACTGTTTAGGTGTAAAAGCCCCCGACCCTCAACATTAGGTATATGTTTTTTTCATTGAATTAATAGCAGCTATAAATAAAACGCTGGGGCCAAGTGTGCAATACCTGCACTGCCCTGCAAAAGCTGCAAAAAAATACAGTATACATCTCCAAGTGGCACACAGATTTCAACTCACATGTCAACTCCAATAGATGATGTAGCTACCTCCATTATGAGACTGGGGGATAATTTGGCCAAAATAGATCATAAAGGTCTGCCATGGGCACAAGAGCACGTGTTACTCTTGACCTCTGCCTTCTCTTGCAAAGCTCTGTACTCAAATACTCTTGTTTCTACTATGGGTTATTTCATTATTGTTTCAAATCAGATAATGCATCCTGATGTGAAATATGACAAAATATGTAAATCGAAGGAAAAATTTTGTGGGGTGTTTTTTTTTTCCCCCCTGCTATGTCTGACAAAACAAATAACATAGTTTTCTAGAAAACACTATCTCAGGAATGGTTTTGGTTAAAATAACTGGTGTTTTCAAATGTTCTTTTTTATCCACCTGGAAAATTCAGCATACATATATATATATATTCCATATATGTGTGTGTGTGTGTGTGTGTGTGTATACATACACACACATACACTGTTTTAGGAGAAAACAGCATTTCAGCTTGGTGATTTAAGTAATATCAACTATGTATGTTTATTTGTAAAATTTCCCATAGTGAAACATGTTGTAGTTACCTATAAACATTCATTTTCACTATTTACAATTTTGAATAATCATGGAATGTTTGTATAATGCAACCAGTTGTTATAGAAAAGTCACATAAACAATATAAATCTGATACCCAATCCTTTACACATACGAAATTACTTTCACTTGGTTTTCAAACTGTCAAGTATAAATAGGATAAGGTCAGCAATACTTAAGATGAGGCACTTTAACAATTACCCAAAAAGGTTAAGTGTACAAAAGTGTAAAACAAAACTCTTGATATTAATCATACCCCTAACTTCAGACATGATTAATCTGAGATGGTCTATATTAAGGAATGTTATGAACTCTTATTTCTTGCCCTTCCCCTCCCCCTCCATTTGACCCAAGGCAAGTAACTATGAAATACATAAGTATATAGACATCATCACAGGCCAGTTAATGTGCTCACACAGAAAGGAACTAAACACCATGTATTGACACTAAGGGTTTTAGAAAGTGACTATTTTAACACAAATACTTCTGCATAATTTTTCCCATAAACATGTACAAATATATTGGTCTCCCAAAGGCAAAAATGCTATCTCAACCATATTCCTAGACAAAAATGCCCTCAAAGGTGTTAAGTGAATCAAAACTAATAGTCTGTGTACTCTTTTCAAACACTGAATTTCTAATATTCAGAGAAATTAAAATTAAATTTTAATTTTAAAAATAGAAAAATGAAAAAATTAAATTTACCAATACTTTCTAGATTACTTTTAATATTTAAAAAACTAATAATGAATATTTTGTTTTGCTAGCCTTTTGTGAAACACCTTTCATCATATAATTTGGCCAATTCATTTTTAAACTTAAATCATGTTCTCTGTATATTAACATTGCATCTTTTGGTAGTTAATAAATACTTGATTAAAAAATGTTAATTACTATTGCTGCATGAATTCAAAATACTGTCTTTTCTCCCATGGTCAGATTTCAACAGTAAAGAAAACAGCAGACTCAATTTTTTAAAGGTCATCCAGAAGGAATTAAAATCTGTGGTCCCATTAACAGTTTTAAGTGAGAACAGTTAAATTCTCATTAAACTTGTTTATTTCTGGTAGATTATAATTTGAGTAATTTCTATAGCCCAGATACCCAAATGTTTAATAAACATATGGGTTAGCACTCATCTTAACATACTTAGCTGTTCCAAGTCCATTTCTGTGTGTGTATAGAGCACACACGCACTTCTTAATTCCCTAAAACAGTCTTGCTCCCCTAAAGAGAAAAACTGGCTTTTAATATGCTACCAGACACATAAGTCTCTTCTAAAATCAGAAGTGGGCCAATTTTCAAATAAATGAAGAAGAGAAAATAGTTATTAGAATGACAAAATTTAAGCTTGGCAAAAGTAGTGACTTTTATTTACAACTGCATGTATCAAGATTACAATAAAAACACTAGTGATACCATCCGAACAAAAGCAATGATTTATTGGTAATGGCAATGAATGGAATATTGACAGTCTCTGATGAGAATCAAGCAATTATCCAGGAGCTGTAGATCTGATTGCATTATGGTCTTCCAGTGTCTTTTGTACCTTAGTGGCTTTCTCCTTTTTTGCCAACTACCTAGAAAAACAAAAATAACTTTACATGTACATCTTATTGATTCAGAAATATGTGTTACTTTCAAAATAATATTACTAATTGGTAATCATCTTTAAAGCCTGGCATTAATTTTTATCCCCCCCCCCTTTTTTGGGGCATGCAGTATATATTTTCACTGTTGAAACAAACTGTGACCTTCCCTTTCCTCCCAGCCTCAAGGAATTAAAAATAAAACACATGCAGGCTATTTTTGGTTTCCCACACTGTTTAAAGGAAAAGTAATGCAATTTTTCAAAACAAGGTTGACAGTTTAGAGAAGTTAATAAAAGGATGATGCTATATGAGTGAAATATATTTGGCAAACTATTTTTAGGCAATTAGAAATCAAATGTCGATCACAAAATACCCTAGAATTAAAAGAGAATGCTAAACTTATGTCTAAATGCCCAAGATGACAGGTTTCTAGACTTTTCTCTCAATATGCAGATATGCAATGAAAAGAGATTAAAAATGACTAATTTTGCGTATTTTCTTTTTTAAAAAAACATAAAGAATAAATCTTGTTTCTGTCAACGATTAGAAATATTCTCCATTGGAGGGCTTTAAAAATGTCCTACTTGCTATAAACGTGGCAGCATAAAAATGTAAGAATACACTTGGTTTCTACCCACAGTGCTAGAAAACAAATCCTCTGTAGGAAGGTTCTACAACTATGTTTTAAGCAAATAATTTACTAAAACCTGACGTTTACCATTAGACAATATATTCTCACAGCAGAAATGCCTCTAAAGAAATCTACCTGCAAGCTACAGAATATATATTTGTATACAAAAAGACTTCTATGTACATTTGTAAATGTAACTTTCATATTTTAACAGATTCTGTTCCAAATGGTAGTCTGAATCAAACAAAACTCATAAAGGTCTTCAGTACATGTCGGTCTAAAACAGAACATGGCCGGGTCAACATTATTCATGACAGAAGATTATAAAAACCCTTCCACTTAATTCCCAATCACATGATGTCAGGCATGCTGTTTTCCCAACCTTGAGGAAAACCAGTTTCATTACTTTAAAAGATTTCCTCTCTACTCTACAGAAACTATGTGTTAGAAAGCCCCAAAAGCCAGAAAGTTGCTAAAGAGATAGTTTCATAAAAATATGCAAATAAGAGTAAAATATTCAGGGCTTAAGAGCCTTCTTAAGAAAGAAGGGGAGGCAGTAGTATTTGTATCACTAATGAATTTAAGCAGATAAACACTGAAAGCATTATTGATCATTATTATCACTTGGGAACACACAAAACACAGAGCTATTAGATAAAGCAAAAGAAAACAAAAACAACTAATATTAAAAATTAAAATTTTAGCAGATGTGATACAGAAGACACAAATCTGCATACTGTTTCACAGGTTGATAACTCTCAACTTTCCAATGTGTACTCTCTGTAAAAAAGAAGAAATTCAGCATTCCAATATGGATGTTCTCATCCCATTTTAAAGAAACTATTTTATTCATTTTTAAGTGTTTATATTACACCTCAGACAAACAATAGTCTAGGTACATCAAAATTAGGTGTCAAAAATATTTATTCAGTAAAGAGTCCATTGATCTTCCATGTTAAGAGTTTAACCCAGCCTAACATTCAGTTCGTCTTTCAATGCCTTGAGCTCACTTGGGTAGGCAAAGCAGAGGACGTGCCCATAATTAATCAGCAAAAAGACTTTGGGGTGGGCACCTGGGTGGCTCAGTCAGTTAAGCGTCTGCCTTCGGCTCAGGTCATGATCTCAGGGTTCTGGGATGGAGTTCTGCATCAGGCTCTCAGCTCAGCAGGGAGTCTGCTTCTCCCTCCGCCCCTCCCCCCTGCTCATACACACTCTTTCGTGCTCTTAAATAAATAAAATCTTAAAAAAAAAAAAAAGACTCTGGGGCTGCAGTTCCATTGAGAAAAGAAAATCCATGTCTCTTAACTGTGGCCTAATCAATATACCATACTAGTTCTAGTATAAAAGACGTTGATGAAATTGTTCATATATGATTTCCAAAATGATTCTATAATTCCCAAAAAATAAAATTTAAACTTTAGATTGGATTAAAACATCCAACTAGTTAAGTCTAAAAGCATTTACAACATTTTATTGCAATATGATTTCTCAAAATACAGTACCAAAAATGAAACATGAGATAGGAGAAAGTAAGAAAATAAAAGTCAGGGAGCAACATGGTCTGATAATGAAATTAAAGCACCTAGTTGCAAGCCCAAAATAAAAAGCAAACCAAAACAAAATGCCAACTGAGACACACAGCTAGAATAAGATCTGAAGAAAGAGATGGTTGAGGAAATCTAGGTAACAAGGCTGATCCAGATGATAGAAGCTGGAGACATCTTGCACCAACAATGGCGAGAACATGGGAAGGGTGAGAGCAGACAGGTGCTAGATGAGCATAGAAGCAAGGAGGGGAGTAGAGTGAGATAAGGTCAATCTTTATATTACTTCATTTTAAAAAATCTTCTGTTTTTAGTTCATTTGAGTTGCATTAAAAAAGCTGAAAAATAAACAGACAGAAATGTTACAAAAATAGCTGATACGGTGAATGGCCAGTTTAGAAAAGTCTATTTTTATTACAGTGATGAAAATCTGCTCTGCTTTTCACATGCACCTCATTCCCCAAGAAGCAAAAGCCTCTTCAATTTGGCTCATATGTGTATACTTGTATGTTATTACTTTTTTATTAAAATAAAGCAATCCATATAAAGAGCACATTTTAGCAAAGAAAATATCTACTTCCAATTAAGATGGCAAGCTTTTCATGCTGCAACACAAAGACTCCATTTACAACAACAAATAGCCTAAATGTATATTATAATCTGTGCACAACGCCTATAATAGCCAAGAACAGACAAGTGGGAGGTGTGTTCTGGTCTACGAGGTCTTAAAAGTATAACCTTTAAAGTTAGAATAGCATGCACGGAGGTCTAAGATTTCTATCCACATCCAAGGTTCATTAGCATTACCTTAGCTTCTGTCATCTTAGTGACATAAGGAGAAGATCAATGATACTCTGAAAACTAAAATTATCTAGAAACAACTCACACAATATAAAAATGTAAACTGAAAATGCAAAACAATTCTATTTTATCATTCTTTAAACCATTTTTTACAGCTTTCTTCATTACACGAGGTATCAAAGCATTCCCCTCTGAGCTGATAAAATACATGCCAAATCTATTTTGAAATTTTAAATTCTAATTCCTTTGAAATTCAGACTGATTAAATAAAGTCCTGCACCTTCCCATTTCATGCCTATGGAAAATTCCTATTTTCCCTTCTACCTGGAGTGCCCACTGCTATCTTTTCCTTCACTGCTATGCTATCCATTTCGACTCCCAAAGTTTAGTTCAAGACCCTCCCCAAAACATTCTCATCCTCTCCCAGCCATTTTTGGGAAGAATTAAGTATCTATTGCTGGGCTAGGAAAGCATGAAAATACCCTCTAGAGGAAGAGACTTTAACTAAACTTTGATCAACTTTCCAAATGTTTATATATTATCTTTTAAGAATATAAACTTGCTATACAAAGGGATTATATATCTAGCATAATACTACAGAGACAACAGTACCACACCATATAACTATTATTTCCTTTTTTAGAAACCAAATTCATTTATAATTTTTAATAAGGACTCTATCTATACAAGATCTAAACTGGCCAATTTCAGTTAAACATAAATAATTTTTTATTGCAATTTTCCTACACTGATGTTGTTGACTTAGCTGAATGCAAAAAGCACTGAAATATTAGGGTTTTTTTTTTTTTTGCTTACTTTTGAGGAACAATTCAATGAATGACATAAGTCTCATTAAAAAGAAATTAAATGTAAATTAAAAGGAAATGCAATGTAATATTAACATACATAAAATCGCTGAACCCCCCCCCCAAAAAAAATCATTGAACCCATTCAAATTTATCAAACATTAAAAGCAAGGGACTAGCACCAAGAAAGGAGTCCATGATAGTATTAAATTATTCTCAAAGCGCTTCTAAGTGTGGTCTAGGCCAGGGGTCCTTGAGGTCCTTTCTGGGAGTATTCAAAACTATTTTCATAATAATGCTAAATTGTTATTTCTTAACTCTCACTATCTCACAGGTGTTCAATGGAGTTTTCCAGAGGCTACATGATCTGTGATAGCAAATTTGACTGAATGTAGAAGCAGGCATAAGAATGAGAGGGTTCTATTAAGTTAGAGAGCATAACAATTTATAAAGCAAAAACAATGCTCTTCTTGCTAAATTGGTCTTGATGTGGGGGAAATATGTATCTTAATTTAAAAATATCTATGTTAACATATAATGAGTTTATTATTTATAAGTAATTTGAAATTTCTCGGTTTCAATTTCTTAAGGGGTAAATATTAAATAAATATAGCCTACATTAACAAAATCTTTTTTTGCCCTCAATAATATTAAATAGTGTAAAAGGGTCCTAAGACTAAAAAGTTTGAGAACTATTGCTCTATAGCAGTGTTAACTAAAATTTAAAAAGTATTTAGTTAAATGATACATAGCCAATGTACAAAACAAACACAAATATTCCCAAGCAAGAAAAGTCTAACATCTCTGCTAACCTAAAGATAGTCCAGGAAAGGTAGTTTGGTAAGTAAAAGAGAGAGAAACTAGGCCAGAAGGCATAGGAGAGGGAGGATGTTAAAACCAAAAAGGTGGAGACAGATTCTTCAATGGATGATTATTAATGCATATTAGAAAAGCTGACTGAATGGCAGGCTGGTAAGAAGATGGTCAAGATGGAGCAGTGTTCATAGAGAAAAATGGAAACCAAATAGCACGAACAGAGGTGAGAAGCAGGGAACCTGAGCTGAAATTAATGAATGGTATAGAGCTTAGAGTAGATCCTATGAAGGAATTCAGCTAAAAACAAACTATGCAAGGCAGTTAAAGCCAAATCCAATGACATTTAATTCAAACAGGCAATATAACAAAGCAGGCAGCCCAAACTTCTTTGGTGCTCACACAGTTGCCCAGTACAGCATATCCCATTACATACAAATAAAAATGTAGATGTTTAATCTCTGTTTCTACTGACCTGTCATTATACATGTCAGATATTTGACAAAACAAATCTAAGTACGTAATTGTCCTACAGTTCTCAAAAGTTAAGAATGAGACAGGAAGTCATTGTAGTTCAAAAATGAGCAGTTAAAATACCTATAGTCAAGGTTATCAACTCTGCTAAACTCTGCAATTTTATAAGCTCATCCACGGTTATGCAATTTTATGAATTTTTTTGTAACTGAATTATAATGAGCTCTGTAGATACTACCAAAAAGAATAAAGAGTTTTCAGGATGCTCCATAGCTTCAGTTTCCTACCAAGCAGGGATCTAACTGTTCAGCTGGGTGCCTCTTCCTCCAGACCCTAAGGAAACTTCCTCCCAAGTAATCATCTCCAGTTTTAGACTGACTGCCAAAGGCAGCCATCAGAAACACAACCACACCCACATTCCCCATGCTGCCGCATGTTTAACCTGGGTACAGCAACTGGGTTCTGCATGGGGGAAGCTCCTGCTAACATTTCCATGATCTGTGGTTGCACTACTTTACAACTCTCCCTAAGGAACTGTGACCAAGGAGCAGCTGTTCCATGAAGGTACAAAATGTCCTCATTCCTAAGGTTCTCTTTTATCTTATAAATTCTCTGCAACCCTTAGGACTGTGTCCACAAAACAAAAACGTACATATACATACATACATACGTAATCCACCTGTTCACTGAAAATGTGCAATGTGGTCCTTAAGCACACAGACATGGTTTAAAGGCATCTCAGTACAGTAAAACTGAACCAATTCGTTTTAATTTAAAATTATTCGTGTGATTTTAAATGTTTTCATTGGAAACAATCAAAATCTTAATATCAGCAAAATTCTTAAAAATTCATTAAAAATTATTAAATGATTTTAACTTATTCCTATTTTGACATTATTCCTAACTGCTTTCTATAACCAAACCAATTATTTAGTTAAATTACTTTCTTTTTATCTTTTACTTCATTATAAGCAAGGATTTTTTTTTTTTTAATTGAAGTACAACTGACATACAATGTTATATTAGTTCCAGGTGTACAATATAGTGATTCAACAATTCTGGACATTATACTGTGCTCACCAAGCAAATATTTTTACCCTGTTATTTGGATACTATTTATTAATAGACACTGTAACCAGGACTTATTTTTATTAGAAACTGTCTTTCGTTGGACATCTAAAAATATTATTAGGAGAACCTATTGTCCTAGCTGAACCTAAAATTTCATGACATGGTATTATTTTGATTTTTAAGAAATTATTTCTTTAAAATTGTATTTTTACTTTCCCTAAATACCATTTAAAACAAACTTACTCGTTTGAAGTCATTCATATTGGTTGCCTGGACTGGAGTACCAATAAAAGTAAAATATGAAATTCTTGTTGTTTCTTCTTCACCTTGATTGGACTGAACAAATATCTATACCCCCCATCAAAAAAAAAAAAGAATTTTTACATTAATGATTGTTCTTTTTTTCATAAACTGATTTTGTTAGATTATTAATAAAAATGTCTTCCATTCTTTATAAGGATTAACCCAAACTACATTTAGTCTACCACAGCTATAGGACTATTAATTCCACTGTGGGCCCTGCTGTCTTCACATTCTCCAGGATGTCATGGCAAGACACCCACCCACACAAGTTCAGGATAATTCAGTGTGAGGGTGTGGAGGGGTCACAACTAAATTCCTTACAAAGAATGCTGAACAAGTATGAAATTCATTACAGTGGGCAGACCACTGCTGAAATTTTATTATAATTGGTTTTTGACAGAGGAAAGTCTCTGCACTTGTTTCTGATAATCATTCATTCATTCAATTTCCTAAAATACTAAAAGAAAAAATAGTATTGGAAATCAGCTCCTAAAATTGTACCATAGCCGGCATGTTTCTTTAAGCTTGACTCTTTATACTTTCTATGTAGAAACTCTGCTCACATGTTAGTAGACAACAGCTTACTTACAGATCCTTTTTCAATATACTGGATTTTTTATATGCTGTAAGAAAAAAACAACAATGCAATACTCTAGATGCTCTTTATTTAAGAATATTGCCTCTCTTGATTTAGAAGACATACTTCTTTTTGTTCTCTGATGGCATTAATCAGTTTTTGGTGTTTTTATAGGTAAGCACAGATTCACCTCAAACTAAGCTTACTAAAATTTCCGAGTCTGTAATAGGTAGAACCAGCTCTCCATTTATTTGTAATGCTCTTTGAAAATTAACACAAGTTTATATTTACAGCTTTTAAAATTCATCTACTTACTTTGATTAGACTTTCTGATCAAAACTGTCATTTTGATTTCAATTTTTATCACCAAAAAACTGATAACCATACTTCTTGTGACTAAGTCACGGACTAAAATAGTTTGAGATAGGACACAGTACACATAGACTTGAGCCTATCTCAAGATAACCATGTACAGTGATTCTCAGTGATGGAGATTATATCAAGATGTTTGGGTTGAAAGGGCTTTTTTCCCCCATAAATGCCTTCTTTCCATCACTAAATATATCAACTGGCATCAATTGAGGATAAGGTACAAACAAAAGTCAGGAAAATATCTGATAACCAGTATCTAGTTTAATCTAACCATTTTCATCCATTTCATTTGGGTAGAATATTTCAAATACTGAAATCTCAATTATAATCCTTCATCTTCCTACTAAATATATCCTGTGAAATTACAGTGAAAATCTCCTAAAATAAACAAATTATAGCACTCTCTAATTTACAAAAACCAGAATCATTTCATTAGAACAAGGAAATCACATTAGTTTGGAAGGACTGTTCTCAAGGACTCTGTGCTCGTTCTCACTTTTTTTCTAGGTGTTCCACTATTCTAACCCTCCTATACCCTCCTCTGAAGGACTGGAATGGGAGGGATGGATGGGAGGAGGAGGTGGTTTGGAGAGCATATGCTGGTTTTCATTACTAAAAATCACAAAAGCAATTAATAACTGCTAAGAAGCAGCTGACTTCTTAATGCAAATTAAGATAATGTAAACGTCTTCTTTTAAAAAGTCATTTTTATTGAGCTCATAACCACTACACTATTAAAAACTGTACATTCTAGAAAAATAAATTGGATTTTACAATTATCATTCATCACCCAGTATGAAGGATAATCTACAAATACCTTCAGTTTAAGTATAAAGAATGTTCTAGATTAAATTGTTCAGAGAAGCTGCCTAATATGTATAAAGTAAGTAAACTGACAAATTCACAACTTTTTCAAAAAATCAACCTATCCTTCCTCTTTAGGGCATATCAATTAAAAAGAAGAAAATTTAATTAGTTCATTATACATTTTTACTCATTTCAAATCAAGTGGACAAAAACCTACTAAAGGACCATTTAGAATCACCTAGGATACTGAAGATAATAGCATGAACTGTCTGTCACCCAGAAACGCATTAAATATAGCTGAAATACTCACAGTTACACTGTTAACATTCTGAAACTTAACATAACGAAGTGGGACAATGCCATCTTCTTTAATATCATCCTCTGTTAGTTCCAGAGCTTGAGTTGGTTCACTTCTTTCCGCTTCTTCAAAATCCATAGATCGGGGTAGATTGATAAAAATTTTTACATATTTAGGACCCTGACCTATAAAATGGTAGAATAAAATTAAATGTTAAACCAAACTTGCAATACTTTCCTTCCTTCACCATTACATTCACACTATACAACCAGACACACATCCAAATATATGCACATATCTACTTAAATCTTTAGCAACTTTAAGAAATTCTGAGTATTTTCATAGCCATTCTTTTTTTATAGACATTTTTTAAATGCCTGCTAGTAGTATACTAAGTCCTAGGAATACTACATTGAAACACATATGTACATATGCATACAAACATATGAACAGACTTCTTGTCCTCAGCTATAAAAAATATACTATGATACATGTAATACTACTAGCGAGGAGGTAGAGGGAAGGTGGAAATATAGTCTGACAATGTATGCAGGTTAACAAAAAGTTTCATAAAAGAAATTAACATTTGCACTGGGTCTTGCAGTTGGCAACAACTGGTCTATTTGTTATTTAGGAGAAAAGCAGTACCAGTGACAACATTTAGCTAAGAGGAAATTAACTATACAAATTGCCAAATTTCATCTTAGGGATTAAGATATGTTAAGTGGTTAGATCACATTTAGAGAATGCCTTAGTCACTTTAACTTCAGGGTACAATCCAAAACCTGTATTTTGTGGCTGGTTAAGGAATCTTGAGACATCCATATTGCTTACTCATCTCTAAAGCAACTGCTTTTACAAATACTTTGTATTTTCAGACTAAAGATACAATTTTACTAATGAGAAACATTTATAAAAATTTAAAATAACAAATGAGAAGGGAATGCTATCTGGTAAATAGGATGTTTGCTATTTCTCCCAATTGTGAAGAAAACAAAACAAAACAAAATCCTAGTCCCCACCTCCCCACTACCTGCCAAGTCTATACAATCCTGTTTACATATAATATACGTAAGGAAGAAGATGAAACTACTAACAGCGTAAGTAGGAAGATCTAGAACCCCACATATTATATATAATGATAGGAGTGTGAAATATAAATCTCCCCCAGTTCTGATCCTGATTTAGAACAACAGTTGGAAGAAAGAGGTGCTTTGTTTTCAGATTAAAATAAAAAAAATTTTTTTAATTTTCATTTTAGTTTCTAATAACCTCACATTATTTGCATTCATTAATCTCTTTGCTTTGTTCTAGAAACAAAGCAAATTTCATCTTTCCTAAAACAAGGAATATCTATCTACTTTAACCATCTATCTGAGAGAGAGAGCACAAGCAGGGGGAATAGGAGAGAGAGGAGAGGGAGAAGCAGGCTCCCCATTGAGCAAGGACCCCACCACCACCACCACCTACAGGATTTGATCCCAGGACCCTGGAATCACGACCTGAGCCCAAAGCAGATGCCTAACTGAGTGAGCCATCTGGACGCCCTTACCTGTATTATTTAATAAAAAGTTTTATATATGTGCTAACAGGTCCACAGAGCAGAAAGTTAAAGAAAAGCTGTCCATTACTCACCATTATCAGGCCCTTGAAATTTCATTGAATAAAGCTTAACAGGCTGATTAAATGCCACAGTAATAAGTAGCTGTAAAGAAAATAAAAAGTTTCATTTTAAAAGGACTCTTGAACACCCTGAATACATACAACAGTTAAGTACTTAGATTTATTAATTCAATGGCAGAAAATATTTAATTCATTTCATAAAACCAACGTAATACAAAAAATCTAAGTTTAAAGTAACTTGATTAGACTGACATTTGAGAAATACAATCATCTATTATTCACATAAGGGAATGACAACAAAATTTAATGAAATAAATTAAATTAAAAATACGCATAAGGGGGGGCACCTGCTAGCTTAGTCAGTAGAGCACGCAAAACCTAATCTAGGGGTTGAGTTTGAGCCCATCATTGGCTGTAGAGCCCACTAAAAAAAGGTGGGGGGAGGGGTCAGAATATGCATAAGAACCTAAGGTCTTGTGACCTGTAAAGTGATAAGCAATCTTTCTTTCAAAAAAAAAAAAATCAAACGATTTCAAATTAAAATTTAAACTATGTATTTTAGTGTATAAGTTTAACATTTTATAGGATGGTTTGTCAAGCATCTACCCACATCACTTGACAATTTGGAGACAATGCACAGGTTATGTGAAGAAACTACCCCTCAGATGCACTCTATTATCCAAAACTCAATACAATAAGACCTTTAATAGCTCTACAGAATAATTGAATGTAGAAGGCCACACAAGGGAGCTGGGATAATGAAACACTGTCAGGATGCCTCTCTTAGAAACCGTAAGTCAGGGATCCCTGGGTGGCGCAGCGGTTTGGCGCCTGCCTTTGGCCCAGGGCGCGATCCTGGAGACCTGGGATCAAATCCCACGTCAGGCTCCCGGTGCATGGAGCCTGCTTCTCCCTCTGCCTGTGTCTCTGCCTCTCTCTCTCTCTCTCTGTGTGACTATCATAAATGAATAAAAAATTAAAAAAAAAAATTTAAAAAAAAAAAAAAAAAAAAGAAACCGTAAGTCATTTGCTCAATCTTCTTTCCAGGTTGAGTTTTACGACCTATTTTTTTTTTTTCAAGGAAAAACTTTTATTCAGAATAAGCATTAGCAAAATGAAGGTAGGTGCCTCATAATGCAGGGCCACAGAGTACTCAGAAAGAGATTAGAAAATCATTACAAAACTTTGCTACAGATTAAAATAAACTTGAAACCACAATCATTGGCTATAAAATGCCGCTGTATGGAATCACTAAAAATAAAAGGTGAAAATCTTCAGACGATTTGTTCTCTTGCTTGCCCAAGTTGCAGGGAGTCAACAGCCCTCAGAATCCAGTGCAGCTGTGACACGCAAGGCCAGGGAGTGATGAGAGGACCCCTCAGCCCCACCGCTGTGGCCCTGCCATTGAATCTGCATGAAGACCACCTGGCCTCCAGGTTCAATTAAGTGCTTGTGATTCTCCCAGTGAGGACTCCCAATTACGAAGGATGGGAGCTCAGCAGGAAGCTTTACTGGGACTGCATCTGCCTCTTCAACTTGGCCAGTCTCAGGAGACACTCGTCCCTCCACTGCCTTCTGGCGCCTAAGTGCTCTGGGTCATCGGGAACATTCACACACATGGCCTGGTTAACTTTTTCAGTGGTGGCCCTGGAAAAGTCTGGAATGGGCCCAAAAGTCTTCACATTCCAGCTGAAATTGTGCCTGATGTACATATCTATGCTTCTGCCCTAGAAGGAAGATTTTCCTGGCAGGAAGATCTCAGGGAAGCTGTGGTCAGTTCTGCTGATATGCATCATCACATTATATTCAGGGCACCACTGACAAGGAACACAAGTGTAAACAACATTCCTAAAGCTGTTCAGTAAGGTAGCTATGGTTAGAGCAAACATGGAATCTGAATTTATGATTTCAGGATCATTGTGGTCTGTTTGCCTAAGAAAATAACCAGACTACTTCCTTTGGTTATATAAATGCTTTTTATACTTGATCTATAATAGTGTGTCAAAAAATAATAAGCATGGCACATATATAGAAATTTGAACTATAGGTGAAGAAAAGAGAATGGAAAGCTAGAAATAGATCAAGTCAGCAAGAATCTGACATCCTCTTCCTGAAGTCTGTGAACAAGAATCATTTAACTCTTTCAAGAGAAGCATGATCAGATTCATGTTTCATTTTTTTTTTTTAAGATTTTACTTATTTGAGAGAAAGAGAGAGTGCACACAAGCTGTGGGGCAGGGGAGATGGAGAGGGAGAAGCAGACTCCCCGTTGAGCAGGGAGCCTGACGAAAAGCTTGATCCAGGACCCAGGGATCGCGACCTAAGCCAAAGGCAGAAACTTAACCAACTGAGCCACCCAAGTGCCCCTGGATTTATGTTTCAGAGGAATGACTTTCATGAGCATGTGGAAGATAAACTGAAATGGAGACAAAGCAGAGACAGTGGATTAGAAAGTAAATTAAGGAAAGTAACACTCAAGATGAAGATAATGATGGCTTGATCAAGGTAGTACTACGCTACTTCCTCTGTGACAACACAGGGAAGTATTGGGAAGTACAAGAGAGATTTACATCTGGGAGTGAAGACCAGGTACACAGGGAGTGCTCCTCTAATTAGTCTTTATTTCTCAGGTACAAATTCATTTGGGTGAGGTAAAAAACAAAATATGGAAGACAGGTCAAGAATGAATATAAGGACTTAAGGTGGTGAACGCTCAATTCATTAGTGGGGCCATTCCAAAATTCTGAGATTCTGTGTAATGCACCTGGCAGTTTGCACAGAACAGAGAAAGGAGGTGGGTCTATACCATCAAAGAAACGGAAACTTACAAAAAGGAAAAGAAGTGGTCATCTGAGGAGAAACATAAAACAATGAGATGGAAACATAATAAAGAACCCAGAGCAGGCATAAATATTGATGATCCCTACAAGCTTTAAGTATTCAATTACCTGTTCATCACAATCAGATTCCAAGAAGGTCATATCTTTTCGTAAACAGTTGTCAAATCCATGCTCATCACTTTCATTAAGGCATTCACAGCCAGCTTTGTTAATAAAAGGCATTAAATCCATCTGAAAAAATTAAACCAAGACTTTAGGCAAAGCACTTGGATTTGGTCTAACAAGCTAACCAAAATGTAAATACATGATTCTCTCTAAAGTAGGCAATTTTAAAGAAAATTTCTCTTTTAAAATAGTTACTAAAATTTTTACAATAATCCCTTCATTTCAACTTCTGAAATGAAGGGATTATTCATTTCTATCACTATTAAAGCCAAATCTAGGCTTAGCCCACTTGATAAAGTATCAAAAACTAAGTTTTTAATGTGAAGATTATAAAATGTTGGCTTGTACTTTTTTATTACCAGTGATTTGCTGTGCAAAATATGCAAATGAAAATATCCATAAGATCCAAAGAAAGCCGACCTCCCTCTTCTAGTGGTCATGTACTCCTTAAACCTATATTCATAAACAGTTTACATTTAAGATAAATAACAAATAAGGATTAGAACACTTATTATGGAAAATTTCAAACATATATAAATAAATAACACAGTGAACCTCTCGTACTCACCTCCCAGTTACAATAATCAACTCATGGCCACTCTTATTTCATCTTTACATCGCAAGCAGTCCCTACCCCCTCCTCCCATTTTCAAATAAATCTTAGACATGTCTTCATTTCATTCATGAACATTTCAGTGTGTTCATGAACATTTCTAAGAGATAAGGACTCTAAAAGAAATCCTCAATATAATTATAACTAAACCGAGTTAATACTTTAGTCATTAACAGATTTCCATGTTCACATTTCTTCAGTTGTCTCATAAATGTTTTACAGTTGGAAATAAGAGTTCAAAAAACGTACACTGTATTTGGTTAATGTCTCTCAAATCTCCTTTCATCTATGGTCACTTAGTACCTATAGATTTCTAATATTCTGGATTGTGCTGCTTCCCCATGGCATCATTTAACATTTTCCTGTCTCCCGCGTATGTGTTGGTGGGTAGTCCCACACCACACCAGAGTTCTGACAGTGATCGTCCCTTCTCCTGGCTTTAATGAGTGTGCCTCTGGTGCTCTCTCATAAAGATTTTATTGATTGCTTTTGGAATAAATGGGTAATGAATTCTGTCAAATGCCTTTTCTACATATTAGGAGATCAGAATCTTTCTCTAGATCACTGAATTTTGTTTACTAATATTTTCAGAACTTCAAAACAACTGTTCCTAATTGTAACCCATCGTTAGCTTTTTTTGGTGCAAACGTTGTCAGATTCTGGGATCAATGTCATATTTACTTAAAAAAAATTTAGAAGTTTTCCCTCTTTATATATAGTCTTTGAAAGTTGGAATAACACTAGACTATCTGATCTTTAAAGATTTGGTAAAATTTCCTTTGAAGTTCCCTTGACCCTGATGGTAGAGGTCTCTAACAACTTTCTCTATTTCCTCTATGGTGATTGGTCTATTTAGGAGTTCTGCTTATAATGGAACTGATTTTGATAAACCCTTTTTTTCTAGAAAAGTATCCATTTCATCTACTAAACAAGGACTAATTTTGAAGTTTACCAAGTACTACAGATTATCATTTACACATTCACCTATCACAACGAGTGCTCTATTTTTTTATACAGATACTAATGCATATGTATATCATTCTGAAAGAGTATATATCACTCTAAAGAAAGCTTTTTAATGTCAAATAATTATGTCAGGTCATTATTATCAATATGGTAAGAATCCATTAGTATAGATCCTTAATTATTCATGGAGTGACCTAAATGCTTTTAAAGCCAAAATGTTATTTTGAATTTATTAAATGTTACGCTGTAGATGTTAACCCTATTGCTCAGGGTAACACACTGTAGCCAATTTAAAAGCAGCGGGGTGGAGGAGCAGTAGAGGGATAAAGTAGCACTGTAAAGCAAAGTGCCATTCTAGAATTACTCTAAACTTTAAGAACATTTGCCTTGAAAGGGTAGTTTTGACAAATCTTTTAAACACATTTTCCATTCTACCAAGATACCTCTTCAATATTATATCTAGGATTAAGACCCCAAGCATGAAGACAACATTGCAGTCATAGTATCTTAATGATGAAAAATAAACTAGGTGACTTAAAGTTGTTTTAACATTTATTTTTTTTTCCCCCCGTGGGACACACAAAACAAGTATCACCAACACATGCATTAAAGTGCTTTGTTATACAACACTCTCTGGGACAAACTGGCATTATATCTGACCTAACTGCAAACTGACATATTCTAGAAATATGCCATTGGAAATAAATAAATACACTACCTATGGAATCAGCTTGCCAATGAGAAAATAATGAGAAAACAATCAGACAAATCCAGATTGTGGGACATTATAGAAGACAGATGGTCTCAACCTGCGCTGTACAATAAGATAGCCATTAGCCACATGTGGCAATTTAAAATTAAATTAATTAAAAATAGATAAAATTTAAAATTTGGTGTCTCAGTTGCACTAGGCATGTAACAAATGCAAAATAGCGACATGTACCTAGTAGCTACTCTATTAGAGTGGTATTGGTTTAAACTTTCAAAAAAAGGCAGTCATGAACAAAAGCAAAAAACAAAACAAAAAAAAGAGACAGAAGTTTCCAGAACACTAAAGAGAACAACTTAAGTGCAATGAATGATCCTTGACTTGATCCTAAATGGAGGAAAAAGAGCTATAAAAAATATTCTGGAGGAGCACCTCGGTGCCTCAGTCAGTTAAGCTCTTGCCTTCAGCTCAGGTCATGATCCAGGGGTCCTGGATCAAGCCCCTGTAGGGGCTCCCTGCTCAGCGGTGAGTCTGCTTCTCCCTCTCCCTCTGCCCCTCTCTCCACTTGTGCTCTCGCGCTCTCTCTCTCCCTCTCAAATAAATAAAATCTTAAAAAAAAAAAAAAGGAATATTCCAGAGATAATTAAGAAAACGTAAACATAGGCTATAAGTATTCTGTACCACTGTTAAATTTCTTAGGAGTGACAATGCTATCATGGTCATGTAAATGAATGTTCTTGTTCTTAGAAGCTACAGGCTAATAAAATATTTAGAGATGAACCAACATATTTTGTCCACAGTTTCTTTTAAATGATTCTGCAGAAGGTAAAAGTGTATAAGTAAATATTAAGAAAGCAAAAATAGCAAAATATTCACAACTGATGAAACACAGGTGAATCGCATATGTGTTTGTTGTACTACTGCTCTGTCAAGTGTGTTTTAATAAATTTCATTGTTCTTTTTTGGAGGGGGAAAATCTAACATAAGACACACACAGGAAGTCAGAAAAACCTTTCCATGCTTCCAGTTTGGCTTAATGAAAGATCTGTCTTACTATACAAATTAGAGTCACTTAAGGTTTCATTTCGTTTTGATGAACGATGACAAAATTTGTAGTCTAAAATCTATAGTTCAGAGATCAGAATACTAAAATAGATGAGTAAGCCTCAAGATCCAGAACATATGCAAATCCAAGTTCAATTCCAGAGCACCCAGAACTCAAACTTCTGGGCGGGGTAGGAGACTTGATATTGAGGCCCTCTCGTTGCATCTGAAGTCACACTGGGTACACTTAACAAATATGGGAGAAAAGAGAGAATGTTTTCAATTTTCCCAATGCTTTAATCAATGTTTTAAAAACTCAAAGTCATTATATTCACAGAAACACTCTTACTTCTGAATAAGAACTGTTATGATTCTTAATGTTATATCATGCTTACATCTATGGCAGTATTTCAAACCCCTCTAAAAAAAGATAAGCCTATCCCTCTTACTCTGGCTTCAATCAAATTAGGAGTTCTAAAACTACAGATGTATAAAATCAATAACTGTATAGCCTCTCAGTGTTACAACATAACTGAAAGTCTTTAAAACCAAAATTTTATTTTAAAATTGTCAATACATTTTTTGCAATGCTTATACTTAAATTTACTTAAGATACAGGCTTTCATTCATTGACTTACTCCCATTAAGTTTCTATTTGTGTTGTGAGAATGATATTCTTAGAAACACATTACCAATCTTAAATATTTAATAATCTTATAGATGTATAGTTCAAAACCTTTAATGTCTTGATTGACACCTGATGGAAAAAATGAAAATATTTTAATTAATTTATTTTTTGAAAGTGTTTTTAATAGGTTTTCACACCGTATTCATAACATTTGCATAAAAACTAAATTTTTTAACTTTCTTAAAACTTCATTTTTTCCTGCTTATTTCCTACCTGCGGCCAAAACACTAATAATCACACTTAACTGATGTGTAAAGAAGTATCCCTCCAGCTAAGCAGCAGGACTGCTGTGCTCATAAGACCTTTTCACGCAAAAACCCTTAGTAAATAAAGGAAAAAAATTCACAAAGATGTAACCACAACAGTTTACAAGTCAAATAATTTCCAAAATTTTCCAAAAGGTGTCACAACCCTAACTTATACAACATGTTCATACTTTCTAACTGGGTATTACAATTTCAAATTTTTACCTAACACTTTTGTTTTAAACATATTAATTGTGCCTAACTCAAATAATGCTAGTACATGTTAAAGACACTTTTTGAAGACAGAACACTCAGTCCCCAACACACAAATCTCTCATATTTATCTGACTAGAGAGTCTCCTTATTCAGTATGAATTTAAGGGACTTTACAGAAAGGACTTGTAGCCCATGACACAGATCTGCTGTATTATACTTGATACACATTCTTTCATATATTAGCTTTAACTTGAGGTAACATTTTTTTTTTAAAGTTCATTTCTGATCTGTTATCACCATTAACTTTAGAACAATAAAACAATGTTCTAAAACATTTTTAGAACAATAAAAATTAGGAAAGATATACGCAAATATATATTTTGGTATGGAGGATTAACTAATTTGCATAAATGAGTCGGTTACCATGAAGGGCTACTTCTGAATTTGGTTCCTTCCTGAATAGTTTTCAAATAATAAAGATACTGAATTATAACTATTTGTATTATGTAATTTCCAAACACTTTTAAGTTCCTAAGTCTTCAGGTTATCATTTGAGCAACAACTCACTCTTAAAACTCAGAAAAACATATCCAATAGCAAAGGCTAGGACCCTACAACAAAATAAGTAGTTTTTTTTCTTAAGCAGAAAAAAAGAGGAGCAAGAGAGGATACATTAAAAAAGAGAAAAAAAAAAATAAAAGAGAGAAAACTATAGGAAGTGGCAGGAAATGGAGTTCATATAAAAGTCACACATTAAAATTTACATATTATTTTACACAATTGTCTAAAACTGAAAAATTTTCCAATGTACATTTCTTCACATTTTTGGGGAAAATTACATAGATATAGTTTTTAAATTACACATAAGTAAAACATCCATATTATATATAATAATAAGATGAAAATTAAATGTGTATATATATATAAAATGATTAAGTGTTTAAAACTGGCTATTAAGACAATGCAGAAAGATTTTTTTAAAAAGTCGTAAAGAAAATTATTTAGGAAAAATAGTTTGTGATGAGGGCTTAAGATTGTAATACATACAAGAGAAACAAAAACCCCAATAGTAAGCTAATGGAATTACTTTTAAAGATCTTCTTTAAAAGTATTCTTAACTAGCAAAAGATAAGTCAATTTCATTTTAACCAAATAATGACAAGAGATATATCATGATTTCACTTTTAAGTCTACCTACATAGCCTTTGGGAATATCTGTGTCCTCATTGCTTCCAGGGTCATTTTCTAAGTGCTGCTTGATTTTTTCTTCTAATCCAACAGCATCTGCTCCTTGATATTGATCAATTCTCACTTTGTTTCGAAAAAACAGAAATGTAGGTGTTGCTGATATATTGTTGGTGGCAGCTGTTCCCTAGAATTGGCAAGTGAGAAGCCATTAATGAATTAAAATTTATCTTAAACCACTTTAATTTTTCATTCTACATCCCTATAGAAGTTATCACAAGCATGAACAAAAACCACATAAAATAATTTATTCCCAATTGTTTAAGAAAAAGTAGACCTATTACTGAGGGCATAGCTATATTACCCTTACGTTCCCAATGAAGAACATGCATTTTTATCTGTTTTAGTGTTAAACACTTCATCCTCCAGTAGAACAATTAGCTTCCAGTACAGAAATTATGCTTCACACATCAGCTAGCTCTTTTATAACTACGTGCTGTCTCTTAAATGGAGAAGCCAAAAAGTGTATTGATATGTCAACACAAACCACTGTTACTAGGAAAAAGTACAGACTGAAGACCAGTAGCCAGCCCATCTCTCCATGAAAATGAAGTAACATCCTCACCCAACTCTACTTACAGAAATGACTTTGGCCTCCCATCAAATGCAATGCAACATCTATCTTCTAAAATTCTGCTCTAACTCCACAATATTATAAAACTGAGTGGAAATTAGCTAATTAACCCCTAACTTATGACTTACTTTTAATAAGTATAAAGGAAATAGTAAAGCAAATTTGTCATCTTGCATATTCGAAAACTATGAAGAGGTACTACTACATTGTTTAAAGAAAAAAAGCACAAAATTTACATAGAGATGTCTTCTCTAAACCTCAAAAATTGAAAAACAAACAACATGACTGACATTTTAAAACAGTATTGTCCAAAAGAAATGTAAGACACAAATGTGGGCTATACACCAAATTATAAGTTGCCAGTATCCACAAGAAAAAAGTACCGGGAAACAAACGAAATCAATTTTAATAATATTTTTAATGAATCCAATATCTGCATTTTCAACGTGGTCAATGTAAAAAGTTAATGACATATTTTACATTTTTTTCATTTTAAGCCTTCAAAATCCTCTGTGTATTTTACACTTAACAGCACTTTTGGATTTGCCACACTTCAAGTGCGCAATAACCACATGTAGCTAGTGGCTACCATACTGGACAACAAAGCTCCAGAACAGAGTACTTCCAGAGTAGAGAGAGTGAATACTGAAATAAGGGCAAGTGCTGACAGCAGTATTATAGGGTTTAAACCAAACCCCAAATTACTATTATAATTTTTAATTATATTATTATAATATAACCATATTATATATTATATATTTATTATAATATTTAATTATTATAAAATTATTTATATAACAAATATATCATATTTAAAATAGTTAAAATATTTTAAACTATATACTTAAAACTATTATAATTTTTAAGATTATATTATATAATTATATTATATTTTAAATTATATTATATTTAAAAACTATTACAATATTTAAAAATATTTTCATACTCAGAAATGTATTAAAGACAAAACCTCTATTATAATATTTATATTATAAACTATTATATTTTTATATATTACATATTATATATCATATACATTTATATATTATCTTTAAAATATATTTTATTATAAATATATCATATTAACTATAATTTTACTATATTTAATTATATTATAATTGAATATTATATTTAAACTATTATAATATTTAAACTTAATTTTTATATTTAATGTATTATATTATATATAATTATTATATATTTAATATTATATAATTATATTTTATTTTATATTTAAGCTATTATAATATTTAAAAATATTTTATACTATTACAATATTTAAAAATATTTTCAAAAAAAAATATTTTCATACTCAGAAATGTATTAAAGACAAAACCTCACCAAAAAGAAGAGCTACACAACTATTCCTTAGTCAGAATTAAAGACTACATTTTTAGTGTTGGAAGGAAACTTCAAAATTTTTTCCCATAACTCCTCCTCCATATTTCCACATTTGCAAACAGAGAATTGTCACAGAGCCATTCCAACTAAGTAATCAGGGCAATCTCCCCATAACACTGTGTCTCAATCAACAGTAATTAACACTTTCAGTTTCTGCTGAGTATGCAGCTTTGAAACTTCCAAATTGATCAATTCAAATCAAACTATAACCAAGAATTCTCTGCCATGGCTTTGGAATCAAGCAATGCCTCAGGAATAAAAGTTACTATTCTCGATTTGCAAAAGATAATAAATGTAAAACAAAGGACTTCGAGATGACTGATTAGTTGAACAGCTTACTAGTTTTACATCAGAAAGATATTAATATAAACAAACCCAGAAAGAATATTGGACTATCCTTCTTAACTAATACACCAAAATGACATTGTAATAATTCATGTCCATATAAGATTTGAATATATTCAAATAAGTACTATGTGCAGAGAGAAACAAAGGACGATAACAATGTTGAATTTCAAACCAATGTAAAATTTTTTTTAAAGGACTCCTTTCCCTTACCTGACACTGATGTACATCTACTTCCAAGAAAACTGCCTGTGGATACTTATTACTCATAGAACTGAATGCTGGGGCAATCCTTAAACATGGTCCACACCTGTGAGAAAGGTAAAATACACGCTTGGTAAAAGAACAAAACAAAAACCCCACCAAAGACTGTATTAATTTCTGCTCTAAAGAGTTTGTTATTAAAATATGAAATCAAACAAAATCTGATCATCCTGGCTTTAGTCTTTCTAGTCTTTTCCACTAGATTATTTGGATACACTGGCATCAATACCACATTGTCTTAATGACTACAGATAGTTTTTTTTTTTTTAATTTTATTTATTTATTCATGAGAGAGAGAGAGAGAGAGAGAGACAGGCAAAGGGAGAAGCAGGCTCCCTGCAGGGAGCCCCACACGGGACTTGATCCCGGGTCTCTAGGATCAGGCCCTGGGCCAAAGGCAGCACTAAACCACTGAGCCCCCCGGGCTACCCCCAGATATAGTTTTAAAGTCTAATGATGTTGTCTTATAGCTTTGTTCTCACCGAAAGAAATTAAAGATGGAAATAAAAGGAGGAATATACTATGCTTATAAATTGGAAAACTCAATAGTGTCAAGATGTCTATTCTCCTAAATTCGATCTTTACAGTCAATGTAAGATCCCAGTAGGTTTTTTTTGCAGAGGTCCAAAGCTGAGAAAATTACATTACTGGATATTAAGAACCATCACAAAGTTTTATATATTAAGGGTGTACGGTATTGATACAAGAACAAACTGACCAATGTAAAAGAATGAAAGAATGAAAGAATGTAAAAGAAAAGAAAGAAAAGAGAAACAAACTCATCCTATACAGAGTACCCTGATTTATCAAACATATGACACAGCACTGCAGTAGGGAAAGAATGGTCTTTTCAATAAGCAGTGCTGGGTCAACTGGATACTCACATGGGAAAAATAAATGAATATTGGCCCCTATACCTCACACCACACACAAAACCAATTCCAGATGGATTACAGATCTAAATGTGAAAGGTAAAACATAAGGTTTAAAAAAAAAATAAGTTTTAAGAAAAAATACAAATGATACTTTCAAAACTTTGGAATAAGCAAAGATATCTTAAAACGCAAAAAGCACCAAAGAAAAAAGGAAATAACTGATACACTGGAATATACTTGATAAACTGGAAAATAGAAGACCTACCTGTAGCAAGATACCATTTAGAGAGTGAAAAGACCCCACAGACTGGTTTAAAAAAATCTGTAAAACATATCAGAAGGCTTACACTGCTAATATGTAAAGAATTCCTACAAATCAGTAAGAACAAGACTGACACCCAAAAGGAAAATGGGTAAACTCTTAAACCGGTACTTGACAAATGAGGTTATCATGACAGTCAATAAATATGAAAAGATACCTCATTTCATTAGTCACTAGGGAAACCAAGGAAATGCAAATTAAAACTACTCCCACCAAAATAGCTAACACAAAAAAGAATAAAGTATTACCAAGAATGTGGAGCAACTGAACTGTGACTGTGCAAACTGGTATAACAAAGGGGTAGGGTAAAGAAAACTGGCAGTATCTGCTACACCAAGATTTATGCCTCCCTACTGAGCATTTCTGAGGTATATAAACAACAGAACTGTCTAGATATGTTTGTCTCGGGGCATTTGAAAAAATATTGATAGTATTAATATTTCTAATAGCCCAAAGTGGAAACTACTCAAATTCCTATCAACATAGAATGTGCAAATTAACTTCAGTTACTCATACAGTTGAATACTAAGCAACAATGAAAATGAGTGATGTAAAATGTCATGCAGAAACATGGATCAACCTCACAAATAATACTGAGACAAGTAGTACATTATATGATTCCATTTATGCACCAGTTCAAATACAGGCAAAACAAATCAATGGTACTATAAATCAGGACAAAGGTTACCTTTCTGAGAGTTAATGACAGGATTAGGTCATGAGAGAGATTTCAAAAGGCTAGTGATGCTCTGTCCAGAAGCTGATTACGTGGGCATGTGTGTTCAATTTATGAAAATTCATTAAGCTATACATTTATAATTGTGTACTATGTTGCATCTCAATAAAAGTAGAGAAAAAATCTTGGGAAGAGCAGATAAGAACACAAGGAGAAGCAAATTCTGAAGCACAAAATGTTCAAACTCACAAATATTCATCCTCAAGCTATGATTATCTCTCTAGTCTTAAAATTTTAATCAGTATTTTCATCCCGTGCCATTGTTAAGCCTCACACCAAAAAAGCTAAGAAAATAACCAATTAAATTCTTAAATATTAAACCTCATGCTTCTGAAAGTAGATTTTTAGATCTAACAATCCTCAAATAGGTCCTGAGACCAAATTATAAAGAAATAAACATTTACAGTAACTATATCTATATTTAGTTTAGCAAAATACTTCCAGTTATCAGTAAGTCTTAAACATTATGGATAAGAGTACCAACTGTTAGATCCTTTTTGCCATTAATCATTATCTGTCAATCTTAAATGAACACAACTCAAGATTCAACAATCTCATTTCTATACATCATATCCTACCTTAACACTCATTCTCACAGTATGTGTAACAAAGTTCAATGCAATGTTTATAACAAAAAATTAGAAATAATCTAAATGACAATCAACCGCAAAATAATTTAAAATGTTATGACACATTAATACCAGGAGATAAGGATAATTTGTAAATCTGTACTGCTTAAAAGGAAACTAAGTCTCATAATAAAATTCTCTATTACCACATTATAAAGATGTTTGTATACACACACATTAGGTTCACCACCCAATAATCAGTTAATTACTTCTGCAAAGTATGACTGGAAAAGGAAGACAGTTTAGTGGAGATTTTTTTTAATTATTCATACTTCTGTATCCTTTGTTATTTTAGGATGAACTGGTACCTTTATTTTAAAATATTAAACAACCTGAGACTAGAGGATTTAACATTAACTGCATTTAAACAAGTGTCCCAAATGAAGCACACCTATTTATGCTACACCACAATATATTCATTCCTGAAAAAAAAATCTCCCTTCTGCAAATGCATGTATTCAAAGTAAGAAGACGTTTGGGAAAAATAGGACTGAGGCAAACCATTTAACCCACTCAACTTTGTAAAAACATCCCTAACAAAAAATAGTACCGTACTCAGGAGATACTTGGGACAGTCAGGTAGGTGGCTCAGACCTAGAGGCTACCCCAGAGAATATTTAAAATAAAAACAGGACACCTGGGTGGCTCAGTGGTTAAGTGCATCTGCATCTGCCTTCCACTCAGGGCATGATCCTGGAGTATCACCGGGATCGAGTCCCACATCGGGCTCCCTGCATGGAGCCTTCTTCTCCCTCTGCCTGTCTCTGCCTCTCTCCCTCTCTCTGTGTCTCTCATGAATAAATAAAATCTAAAAAAAATAAAAATTTTTTTAAATAAACAAAAACAATGGAAGTGCACATTTCAGGTGCTGTAACAGTCCTCCAGGTGGAAGTGGAGCTCTAAGCCAGTGGGGCTGCAGGAGGAAGTGCAATACTGAGAAATAACCCCTTGAGGGAGTAAGTGCTGAGTACAAGTGTTCATGTTCATGTTCATTTTATTAACTTTAAGTTTCTTAAAATAAACCTTTCAGGAAGCTTACCTGTATAGCTGAGGGCTTGCCTCCTTTCTATCTAAGGTTCTAGTTCTACTCCTCGCTACCTAGGAAAAATAAAATACAAACCACCACAACTTTCACATTATACTGACATCATCACTCTATTCACTCGGCATGTATGAACTAACTAGTGTTAAAATAACAAAATGAAACAAAACAACCCCACTTCTATCTACACTTCTTGTAGATAAAATAACTGTACTAAGATAACTTTTCCTTTTCAAACTTTAACCATATCTAAATCCTCTGTTTTAGTTAGCCATCACAGGTTGTAACTTTATAGTCAAAAATCAAAATAAGTCATAGAACACAGAAGCAGAAATAAATACAATGGCATACTTTCACACTATAATCATTCAAGTGAATTGACTGCTTATTTTAAGTAAGATGTTTGCCTGCTTAATATTAGCATTTAAGAATAAACTCAAATTTCCATTATTACCTGAACTCATGAGCAAGTCACTCAATTTCTCCATGTAAAATGAAAAGGAACTAGATTGTCTATGACCTTTCTCATATCTAAAATATTATGTCCCGGGGCACCTGGGTGGTACAGTCAGTTAAGTGTCCAACTCTTGGTTTTGACTTAGGTCGTGATTTCAGGGTTGTCAGACTGAGCCCCATGTCGAGCTCCACGTTCAGCAAGGAGTTTGCTTGAGACTCTCTCTCCTTCTGCCCCCTTCGCCTCCCCTAAAATCAATCAATCAATCTTTAAAATATTATGCCCCAAATATGCCTGAATTTCAGGATCATACTTCCTTCTCTTGTGTAGCCGTTAATTCACAGCCTTAAGTAATATATAGTCACAGAGCCTCTGAACTTCTAAGTGACTAGAGATCATCTAATCCAGGGGTTTAAAAAAGAAAAAAAAAGTTCCTTTTCTACCTCTGAACCTCTCTTTGACAGAAAGATTATCTGTTAAATCTAATATGTAAAATGGGGGCAGCCCCGGTGGCTCAGCGGTTTAGCGCCACCTTCAGCCCAGGGCATGATCCTGGAGATCCAGGATCAAGTCCCATGTCGGGCTCCCTGCGTGGAGCCTGCTTCTCCCTCTGCCTGTGTCTCTGCCTCTTTGTGTCTCTCTCGTGAATAAATAAATAAAATCTTAAAAAAAAATAAATAATAGTATGTAAAATGGGTATGTAAGAAGGATTCTGGGGGTAGCCCTGGTGGCTCAGAGGTTTAGCGCCGCCTTCAGCCCAGGGTGTGATCCTGGAGTCCGGGATTGAGTCCCACATCAGGCTTGATGTGCATGAAGCCTGCTTCTCCCTCTGCCTGTGTCTTTGCCTCTCTCTCTCTCTCTCTCTCTCTCTCTCAAATAAATAAATAAAATCTTAAAAAAAAAAAAGAAAAGAAAAAGAAGGATTTTGACTTATGTTTTTTTGGGGAAAAAGAACACAGCAGAAAACTCTTTCTCCAAAACAAAAAGA